GACTGAGGAGACGCGGCAGTGAGTCCACTTTTTTCCCCGAAACACCATCATTTCCTAAGCTTATTTATCACCTTTCAATTCTACAGAATCACATTATGATTTTATGGTGACTAAGGACCAAGAGTAGAAATGTCTTATCTCCAAGGCATGGAGCAGGCACTCACCATTGAAAGGAAGCAATCTTCAGGCTTTTTACAGGATATCAATCTCTGGGGAATGTCAGCAGGGGCACAAGGAGAGCAGTCGATGCATCTGGACTCATAAATTGCTCACATTACATCCAATATGCCGTGTATGATATGACGTGTCATGGAGGCGTCTGTAAAGGCGCCACAAACGCCAACATCTGGGTTACTTATTTGTCTCCTCTGCAGTGAAGCTGGCAATAAACGCATCTCCCAGAGGCTGGGGACGGTGGGAGAGAATGATCAAATGAAAGCTGCTAAAATGAGGGCATTTTTTCTCTCTTCCTGAATCATCAGCCATAAAACAACAGCAGGACAGGGGTTGCGTCCTTCTCTCTGCTGCTACAACCAGCGGGTGATGGATTGGATGTGGTGGCTACAAAATGCAGATGAAGGTCAGCACTGCGTTCTGGCTAAGACTTCTCAAACTCTCACTTCACAATTAATTTTTGTTTCAAACAATGAATGTTGTTATTTTAATGATAGCATGAGTTTAAAACTTTGATGCTTCCATTTTTCAAAAAGGGCAAACCACCACGGACAATAACAAAATCCTTTAATACAACAGCACTGGGGAACAGAGCCCAGGGCTTCCGCATTTGCTGATTCTCGGCACCTCCGTCTCCGTTACTCTCTGATGTTTCTTAAAGGCTTTCATATATGCATGAGATAAAAGCGGCACAGCAGAAATAAATACAATGAGAATGAAGACGAGGCAGTCGTAGACAAGGTGCTGCTCAACCAGGAGGTGGCAGCAGCAGGAGAGTGGACCTCCTTCCACTGAAGCTGCACGTAAACAGGACCTTGGAGGCCAGTGAG